CATCATCTTCGATAACTGTACCGAATTCTTTTGAATGTAACAAGCTTTGTGGGTAAAACACTTTAAGAAAATTTACTATAAGTTTGATCAAATTTGAATTGGTTAATCTTTTTTCTTCCTTTTCATTTTTAAAATCATTATAAGTATGATATGCAAATACAATGTGAATAATGAAGTAACCAATTTGAAAATTTCGAAATATTACGCACTTTTTTTACAACTGCAACCCTGTTTTCTCAGATACGAATATAAGACTACGAATCGTGCGCGTATGCAGTATTACTTTGAGCTATGATATAATAGTTTTGGCACACCCCCTTGGATGATTCACATATTTTATCACTTCTTGATTGGACGATGCAACTTTATATTCACAGTCTAATTAATTTCACCCGTTAGGGAGACATAAAAATAAAAACGTATACTAATTTGCCAAGTTGGCGATCCTTAAACATACAGAGGAGACAACTTAAAAAAATTCTAGTAAATACCGAAAAACCGGTATTTAAACTTGTGAATACCGGTATTACAAAATTGTATCCCAATATTCCGGCATAGATTGCAATCCTTACTTATAAATGTATCACTAGTGCGGAATGTTTTTGATAATTAATTTTGCGAGTGAGAGTGAGTGAGTGAATATTAACGTCGCACTGTTCAGCTACACGAGGGCGACGAACCACGTAATTTTGAACCATGGTCAAGTGACGTGGACGACACCTGAGCTGGCACCCCTCTCTCCTAACTACCACATCACACCATCGGGAGGACGTTTCAGTTCTCGACAGATTTAACGTGCATCGCTGCCCTACACGGCGGGTCTTTAGTGGTACTGGGCTCGAACTCATGACTTGCCTACCATGATCCGATACCTTGACGACTGGGCTACCGCAGCCCAGGCAATACCTTAAAAATAAGCTTAATAGTTATCAGTGCCTTCCATGGGCTAGTCATATGCAAAATTTAATACTTATCTTAATACATTGTATAATTTCATTAAAATCATATAGTAGCTTTACGTCACAACGTGCATTTCTTAAAATTAAATACATTGTTACTGAGGGAGGCGCAATGAAAATTATAATTAAAAATTGGGTCACAAATATAGAAAGTTTGACAAGTTAAGTAGCTTGGTAGCTCCTATCACGGCTCTTCCCAGGGTTTCTCAAAGCCACGTAAGCCTCCTTTCTACGAAACATGTGAAACCACCTCTCTTTCATCTTACACCCCTCTTAAGGTATCCGACTACTTTCAGAACCGTGATTTTAAAAAAAGCACATAAATTAATAATTTTCATGATATTTAGTGTCACTCAGATTAGAATACATGCATAAAATTGTTTTAAGGACATTTTGACAAAAAAAAAAGTATTTAAATATAATATTTTGGCAAAAAGATTAACTTAGAAAAATCTTTTTTTCCAAATGTTCTCCTATTGTAAAAAATGGTTCTATTATAATAATATTTTGCCTGTATATAGCTCAGACCTCTCGACAGAGGCTCAACTAGAATTTTTGAAAAATTCATATTATTTTCAGAGTTACCACCCATCGAAATAATTATCGGCGTTTTTTTCTTAAAATTGCTCCCCTCTGTTGTCGTAAAATATGAATAAACGTAAAATATTCTAAGTTATATATTTCAAAAATTCCGGTTGGGCCTCTGTACAGAGGTCTGAGCTATATATAGGCAAAATATTATTAGAATAGAAGCATTTTTCACAAAAGAAGAACACTTGATAAAAAAGAGTATTCTAAGTTAATTTTTTGCCAAAATATTGTATTTAAATCATTTTTTTGTCAAAATGTCCTTAAAACAATCTTATGCTTATATTCTACACTAAATATCATGAAAATTATCTATTTATGCGCTTTTTAAAAACACGGTTCTGAATGTTGTCGGATACCTTAATTCTTGACTGTGTGATTGGTGTTTTTCTTATTTTGTTCATTCCCAGAAGAGAAATCTTTTCGTGTTAAGAGGAAAAAATGACACGATAACACATAGTAGTTTGACGGGACCCATTTATCATTCTGTGATGTCTATATTAAGTCGTAGCCATGAGCGTTCAATTGTAAAGCGAAAACATCCTTATAACCATCGCCTATTGATTTAAAAAGGTCAGGACTTGGATTTCTAAAACTGAAGTATAATAGAATTGACTTTTACACTTCCTTAACTCTCTTCCCCAAATAAGAATCCCGAAAAACCCATTTTTAGTAGATTAACAAAACAAACATACTTGCCACGTTTCAAGTCTAAGACAGTTCAAAAATGGAAGTATTTTTATCGTAACGGCCTGTAATCTCCTTGAGAATCGATATCTGTATAAAACCCGTTCTTAGCAGATTTTAAACCACATAAGAACCATGCTTAATAAACTTCAATAATGCAAGTTGGGAAACCGGGTTTTTTTTTTTTTTGTCTACACGCCCCAGTAACTCCTCGCTACCTGCCTCGAAAGTGGATTAACTCAAAAATAATTCTTAGCGGATCTCTACTCAACAAAAGAAACATGCTCACCTAATTTCATGTTTGTAATTTTAAAAGTGCGCAATTTGAAGTTTTTGTCTATAGCGCCTCTTCCTTAACCCCTACTTTACAGTCGGCGACTTCTAAAATCAGAATCCATGTCATGAGTTCGATCCCAGTATTACTAAAGATCCACCGTGTAGGGGAGTGATGTACGTTGAATCTGTCGGAAGTTCATACGTCCTCCCATTTGTGTGGTAGTTAGGAGAGGGGGGTGCCAGTTCAGGTGTCGTCCTCGTCATCCGACCATGGTTCAAAATTACGAGGTCCGTCGCCGAAAGCCCTCGTGTAGCTGAACAGTGCGACGTTAATATTAGGGATGGCGATTCTTTCCTAAAAAGAACGATTTTTAAATCAATTCGAATCGTAACCTAATGAATCGATTCACAAAAAAAATCGAGGTCTAACAGATCGATTTCTAAAAAACTAATTTTTTTTAAGTCTGCATTTACAATGTAAATATAAATCCATTTTATGAAAAACAAGAAAGATACCATAATAAACTATCTCTTATCAGTAATATCAGGGAATTTTTTAGTTCAGGGAATTCAACAATTACAATTATTTTTATTACCATATCAAAGTATCAGGTATAAAAGAAGACATTTATTTTCTAAATGTATTTGTTCATTCAAAAGTTTAGAAAATTGATAATATAGCTTACACACACACACACACAGTTCCCAATGCTTAGTATTTAATGTTTTTAAAAATAGCAGTCTGACAAGTCTATTGGGATCCAAGAGGTTCCGCTCATCACTTGCGATATTGCCGGCAATCGAAAAAAGACGCTTACAAGGAACAGATGATCCCACGATACTCATATAGATCATGGTTTTGAGAGAACATGATGATAAATAGAGTTTTGTTCTTGCCTGTAAATTAATCCTTTAACCACCAACATCGTAATATTACTGGTTTTAAAGATAGTACATTCAACTAATTGTAAATAATTTTGGGTTTTTTACCAAAACAGAAAAATCCAGTGTCAGTTTTCCAGGATGAAATATCGATTCATTGAATTCATATTTTAAATCATTCATTTAATTCATTCATTTAAATCATATCGATTTAAAAAATAGATTTTTTGCCCGAAAAATCGATTCTTCGATTAATCGATCTCAGACTGCCATCCCTATTGTGAATGTCAAGCGACGAGGGTACATATAATCGACATAATAATGAACCTAGTTATCAAATGCCATTTTGATAGTGGATAACAATGCCAATGCTCACCTTTCTCAGAAAGAAACAAAATCTTCTAAAATTTGATAAATTATATTTTTTTTTTTTGCTTGATAGAATTATATTTTTAGTACAAATAAGAATATGCATAAAACTATCTTATTCATTTGAAACTGAACCGAAAACCGTTGATTTTGGCCAAACGAAAACCGGAACTGAACAGATATATATATTTTTTATTTGAACCGGAACGAAAAAAAAATTACGGTTCGAAGCCTTGCTTCTCATCCGGTAGATTCTGATGTCGGTGTCGGAAGATCTCTCGCGGCAGAACTCTTTTGGTGTCTCAAACTCCCTGACCAACATAAAGTCAAAGGTTTGACTTCCCCTATTCATGTGAGGGGATTGTCTTCCTCTGGATACTTTTCCACTGGGATTTCTACGAAAAGTAATTGAATAATTGAAAAAAAAAGGCTCATAAGGGGGAGGGGGGTCCACAGCCAAGTTTTTATTGTGAAGTACTCATTCGTAAAATAGAGTTGAAAATTCTCTAACAGAGATTCAGACAAAATCTTTTTGTTAAAAAAAAAGTAATATAAAAAACATGCCAATTCCTACTTACGTCAACAAAAATTTTATTTTAGATACTTTTTATTAAGGCTGTTTTCGGTTAATGTTAAAGAATAGGACCCGAATTTAGAACATTTTTTCAGATACAAAAGAAATGAAACATTAATATGATATTCTGGCTTCACTATCTTTTAGAAAGCAGCACTTTTCATCATACTTCCCCATTTTTAACACAGTTGAATCATTTTTTTTCGAGTATAAAATGTGTTTCGCATTTTTTATCCTATACCGTAATGTTAAATGGGCTTTGCCTTCACGCATTCAAACAAAAAAGAAAGTATTCACGGAATATTTTGAAATTTTTAAAAACACTATATTGTTAACAGAGGTTCGAGTTATAATATTGCAAATTTCCATAGAAATTGGGTCATTTTTCAGTCTGAAAATGTTCTTCGCGTTTAGTTAGAGATCTCGTACTTTTACCGAAAACAGCCTTAAATTTTTACAATTAATATAAATATGTATATACATATGACAGAAACACAATATTAAGTTACAAAAAAAAAGCGATTTTCCTTGCAATTTTACATTTTCCTTTCTATATAGGTTACTGGGCTGTTTTTTTGTTTGATACTATTTTTATTCATTAACTAAATTTAATTGTTATAGTAAGATAATAGAATAAAAAGAAATCACATTCTCAGAAATTAGGCCATTCCAGGTGGGATTCGAACCCACGACCTTTAGATTAGTGGTTCAACGCGCTATCCACTGCGCTACAGGCACACAACAAGTGAATCTCCTTTTTATATAGGGTGTTGGACTATATTAATTTTGTTTGTTACTATATACTCATTAATTATTCAAATATTAATGAATTATTCTAATATTAGTTATATCAATATAATTTAAAAAACTGTGTTAACATCAATTGTCATCCACTACAAGTTTTAAAAAATGTATTTGAACTTGAGTGGATGAATAAAAAGGATTTTATTAACAATTGAAAATTTGAACAAGATATATATATATATATATATATATATATATATTATAGGGAGAGTGTGAACTAATAGTAGGAAATTGAAAAAGTCACCGCAACAAAACGATTTAATTTTAAACTTTCAGCTACATTATAATATTTTTTTCATATTTCAGGTTCCAAAACAAATATTTGTAATATTTCCAATAGATTAAAAAGCAACTCATGAGAAATTAGAACTAATTCATTTTTAAAATTAAACAAAAATAATTGTTATACATAAAATGTTCTTTATTTATAAAACATGCATGAATATTCAAAAATATCAATTCAATGTCTATTCTTCTCTCAAAAGTTGATCGTTTTAAATTAGCAGCAATTTATTTTTATACAGCTGTAATCCTAAGTTTTTAATGATTTAAAAAAATACAATAATTTGAAAAAAAAATTCAGGCTTACTGTTTCCCAAATAATCTTGTGCAATAACCAAAGCTTCTCTTAAATTTTTGAAGTTTCTACTTGCAATAGCCCATTTTATTTCTGCAGCTTCCATACATTTAGCTATTTCTTCTATAACAGAGTGTCCAATGAGCCCAGAAGCTCCAAATATTACAATGTCATACTCTCTAAAGTTTTCCTTAATCATTTTTAACTATTTTATCAAAATTGTATTTTTAAAGTTTATTAAAACGCACATAATTTGAAGCTAGAAATGTTGTAATTCAGTCTTTCACCGTGAGTCAACTGAGAGTATTAAAATCAGTATTTATGCCTATAATCAACACGTGCATTCTTTTCTCTGCCGCTCAGTACAGGCAGACGGAGAGTATTTCTCTAATACGCAGTCTTGAGAAATGAACTCTAATACTTTAAAAAAAAAAGCTCTCACAATCTCAAAATGATTAAACTTACTTCGCTTTTAAATAGATAGCTTACAGATATTGTGTGATTAAAATAAAAGGAAAAAAAGGAAGCATTGCGTAGCTGGTTCGTCATTAAACAATAGATTTAAAAAACACCCATTTATAGTTAATCGAACTAAGTTGTAACTTAATCTTTTAGTCGCCAAATCTGGAAATGGTGTCTGAAATTAGTCACTAGGTGTGGGATGGGATCTTTTAATGGGAAATAGTTAATCCTAGTGATCCTGATCAATGGAACAAAATTATTAAATTTGTGAGGGCACCCCCTCGGGTGCCCTTCTCCTTGATTATCAGTGTGAGCTAGAGGTGTAGAATAACGGAAGAACTAGAAGCAGACATGATCTTAATATGACTTTATTAAGATCTTTAACTTAAACGGTTAACAAATTAGATAATAGTAATACACTCAGGAACAATGAAAATAGCGACTGTAGAAGAAAGCATCGGATTGAAATGAAATTTAATACATATAATGACACAGATGAGAGATTCACTTGATCTCAAAAACAAGACAATTAAACGAATACAGGGTGTGCAACGACACAAATACTGTCAACTTCAATAGCGCGTTGGACCAACTCCAACTGCAATACATGCCGCCACACGGCCTGGCATTGAGTTGATTAGACACCTTATGTTGTCCTGAGGCAGATGGGCCCACAAATCTTGATTGATTGATTGAATATTAACGTCGCACTGTTCAGCTACACGAGGGCTTTTTGGCGACGGACCACGTAACTTTGAACCATGGTCAAGTGACGTGGGCGACACCTGAGCTGGCACCCCCCCTGTCCTAACTACCACACCACACCAACCGGAGGACGTTTCAGCTCTCGACAGATTTAACGTGCATCGCTGCCCTACACGGCGGGTCTTTAGTGGTACTGGGCTCGAACTCGTGACATCGCAAGCCACGGTCCGATACCTATACTTTTGTGACACGATGGCATCTGCCGTTTTAGCTGATCCCACACGTGCTCTACAGGGGACAAATAGGGGGAGCGGGCCGGCCATGGAAGAGTCTGAAAATGACGTAGGGAGTTTTGAGCAACTCTTGCTGTATGCGAACGAGCATTGTCTTGCTGGAAAATTGCCCCTGGGAGAGACCATTTAGGAAAGGTCCTACATGGGGTCGAAGAATATCATTAACGTAACGTGTGCACGTTAAGGTTCCACGCATCACAATTAAAGTGGACCGGCTATCATAGGCTATGCCCCCCTCCGACCATTACACCAGCTGTGCGGGCAGTGTGACATAGAACAGTGTGGGGGGAATTGTACCGCTCACCAGGGCACCTCCACACCCGTACACGGTTATCATCTGTCCCCAAAACAAACCGGGATTCATCACTAAAAACAACCTTTTGCCAATCTGTGACATTCCACATTGATCTGGTTTGGCACCACTGTAGACGCAGTTGCCGATGTTCCGGTGTTAAAGGGAGTGCACGGAAAGAGCGCTTGGATTTAAGATTTGCTTCTGCAAGGTGTCTGGAAATTGTTTGTGGAACAATTGCTACGCCTACGTCTGCTCGTATCGTTGAGCGAGTCACTGTGGGTTCCACAAGTGCTTGCCGCACGATCCTTCGATCCTCTCTTCTCGTGGTCTTCCTGGTCGCTCCAGACCCCGTTTTCCGCGCGTGGGTACCCTCTCGTGTCCACTGCTGCCAACAATTTCAAACGGCGCTATCCGAACGATCCACCTGGCCAGCAACACGGTGCGTCGAACAGCCTGCAGTTTTCATCCCGATGATCAGGCCTCTCTCAAACTCGCTTAACTGTGAGAAATGTCTTCTAGCACGTTTACCTGGCATGTTTCGCTTACCAAAGTCTTCCTACAATCGGCGGGTAATCGTCACGTTTATGAATCTTTGAATTTGAGCCGGCTTACATAGCACTCTCTTCCTGATTGTAGCGCCCCCTCGGCGTGTATGAGCATGCGTATTGGCACAAAACTTGGATCATTTGCATATCACATTACGCTGTACTTATTTGCAAAGTTTCGTGATTGTACTTAGCTTCCTTCTTGGGTCGCTTTTTTCAATGTTCCTGAGAGTAATTGTGAGAGAAACTACGGTGGATAAACACACAATATATATAATAGAGAAATAACGTAACCCGAATCATTATCGATACTAACTCACCTAAGCTCTATTCCTAGACTCTATCACAGATCCGAATATTAAACAGTCACTCCTACCTTTAATGTAGACTGAAGTAGCGATCACTATAATCCTAGATAAAGTTTCGTTTACTCGAGTGCAATGGTATGCACCTTGACTTAAGGGCTCTCTATCACGTATAATTTCTGTTTTCTATCACTTAACGTTTCCAAAACCTCTTCACGCTTGAAACACGTATTATCTCGACACTCCTCAAATTACCACACCACTTGCTCTAACTTCTGATATTCAAAAGCTTTCTAATTTGCATCTTTCCTCCACGCTTCACTTCTTGGATTTGGTAGAAAAAGAGTTGCCATTAATTCTGGCCCCAAAGAACCCAAAGGACATGTTAAGGAAAAGACGCGTGAGCCCGTCACAATCTCTCCAAGAAGCAAAACGTGATTTATTCGAGGGTCTTAATGGCCATTAAGAAATTACGTGCCTAAATTTTATTTTTCTATACCCCTAACTTTCCATGCTCTATTTAAATTTTAACTTCGAAGAGTCATTTTAACCATTAATTTTCAATATTCAACTTAAATTTTAATTTTCACTATTCATCTTAAGTTTAATTTTTAAAATTCCTCCTTAATTGGAACTTTCGACAGCCACAATAAATTGTACTCAATTAACTAGACCAACATTGACAGTTATGTATTTTAATCATGGTCGATTCTCTTATTTGCAATCGAAATGGGCGTGCCCCATCCGGGCAACAGACCCAGGAAAAAACCATATATGTCTTAGTTGGAAAAACGAGGGCGGCACATCCCTGAATTAACTTAATTCTACTTAAATGCTATTTAAAAATTATTACAATCTTCTTTTTGTATACTGCACATCCATCCTGTCGTCTTTACAATAAAACCTTTGAGAATTGGCTTTTTATTGAGAATTCAGGGTCTGTCACTCTGAAATAAAAACTAAGTTTCTTGGAATAACCAATTTCCATTTAATGCCATTACATTTCACAATTTTTATACATTATATATCACCTTTAAATTACAACTAATTTTCATATATACACCTCATCTGGCTTTTCCAATAAACTTCCCTTCAAATCGCGCAGGGCCGTTATTGTTATTGTTAGTAGACTGTCTATGCCGCGTTTCTCCCAAACCAGATGTACATTGATATGAAATCATATAGCAATATATATACATACACTAGACAATTACAAACATTTTTCAATAAAGAATTAAAACAAATAACCAAAGGAATTGTCGCATCTCAGCGAAGTCATGCACAGAAGTAAACAATGCATATTTACAATTGTTTTCTCCATAATTTTTTAAAAAAATTTTACAAGTCAAAAGCTCTTTTTTTCATCTTCCAGAAAAATGCACTCATTGTTGTGTCAACTTTTGCTTGGCGCTATAATTTTTAAATACCCTACCGCTTGCTTCTCTGCAATAATTGTTCCGACTACTTGTTAGAAAGAATATAAAATGAAACAATATATACACCTGGTTTTTATGACTTGTAGTTGGCGTCTCCTACTAGGACCTCCAGGGAGACGGATCGGTTAGTATTCGCTACTCTTTTCCTTTCCTGGTCCTTTTGTTGTTGACTACCTCTTCGTCTGGTATTCGTGTTTGCTCTTCGATGTAGGGGCTGTAGTGCTTTTCTCTGCTTTTCCTGGCTCAAACTGGTCCTTCTTGTTGTGTCTTCATCTCCATGGTTGGTCGGGACTCCACTCTTGTTCCAACTTTTGGT